AGCCGAATTGGAAAGTCGGCAACGGGCACCTGAAGATCCACCTCGGCGGGCCTCTACTTCGGCACAAGTCTATCTGGAAGCTGATTCTCCCCTTACTCCGGAACTCACTTCGGAACCCGTTCCTGGAAAAGTTAAGGTTCCCCAGATCGGGCTATATGATGGAACATCTGACCCGGACTCACACCTCGGTCATTACACTTCATGGATGGATCTGCATGGGGCCTCAGACGCACTTCGGTGTCGAATGTTTTCACTAACACTGGGGCCTCGGGCCCAAAAATGGTACCATTCGCTTCCTCCTCATTCAATCTGGAAGTGGCAACAATTAAGGTCGGCTTTCAGATCTCACTTTATCGGGGCCCATGTATGCCTTATCCCGAAAGAGTCTCTTGCCAATATCACTCAAAAAGATGATGAAAGCGTTAAAGATTATATTGCCCGTTTCAATGACCGAGTTCAGAATATGGAACCTTGCCATCCCGAAACTTTGCTTGTTATGGCTATTGCTGGATTGAAGCCAAATTCGATTTTCCGCTGGACGTTATGCCAAAACAAACCGAATACTTTTCAAGAATTTCTCGCTCGAGCCCAGCAGCATATCATAGCGGAAGAAGCCATGTCGGTTCCCGGTTTCAACTTTAACTCGAAGTCCTCTAAGGCGGGAACCGACGAAAAAAGGAAGAATAAATTTTTCGACAAGCAAAATAAGACTCAATTCAGGGGGCCTCCCCGAGGAGACCCCAACGATCCTGAAGTCCGAGCGGCCCGAAAACAGTACGCGAACGACGTGAAGTCCGGTTACCAAACTGTGTACTCGGCGGGAGCAGCTACTATTTATGAAGAAATCAAAGGGAAGGGAATTTTGCCAGATCCCAAGCCACTTCGGATGCCTGAAGAAAAACTGGATAAGTCCCGATATTGCGATTATCACAAGTCGCCCGGGCACAACACGGAAGAGTGTTTGAGTTTGTTGGCTGCATTGTTGCGTTTAATCGGCCATCCGCAGCTTAGGAAATTTTATCGTAATACTGATTCCCAGAGGCGAGGTCCTGGACGTCAGGTCGAATCCTTCGATGATGAAGACGACGAGGAAGACCGGGGTGCTATGACAAAACGCATCCGACAGGGAGACAAGAAAGTATTCATGTTTACCTCGGAGACTTCCGATTCTAACCCTGCTGAAATTTCCCGAGGACGTAAGCGAGATAGGTCTCCTGAACCAATGCGAATCGCTGTCCATCGGGTCAATACCAACAACTCCCGGAGTACATTGTCCCGCCGACAGGTCAAGGCGTATGCCCGACAAGCTCACAACTCCGGTAAACAGTTGTACACCACCGATTTGAGAGATGTTCTCAACAATCGGAATTGCCCTATAACCTTCAATATGGAGGACGCGAATCATTTTGCTCATCCTCATTCCGACGCCCTGGTCATTACCGTTCCAATATGTGGTATCCCGGTTCATCGTGTCATGGTGGACACTGGGGCCTATTCAAGTATTTTGATGCTGAAAGCTTTTGACAAGATGGGTCTTGACCCCGCCGAGATCCGACCTTGCAACGATCAAATCCAGGGGTTTAATGGCAGTATTTCAAAACCCATCGGAGAAATCACTTTGCCTGTCAGATTTGGCACCTCGGAGAATGTCACCAAACTCGTCATGGAGACTTTTAAGGTTATGGATATTAATAACGAGTACAACGCCATCATCGGCAGTACGACATTGTACAAACTTCGGGCTGCAGTCTCTATCTTTCACTACGCGTTAAAATTCCCAACAACCCGGGGAGAAGGAACCCACTTCGGAGATCAGAGAGAAGCTCGACAACTTGCTACGTTCATCCCATCTAATGGGGTTCACTCAGCTTCAACGAGTAACAATGAAGCCTCCCCACAGCACCACTCTCCAGACGATACGATGACCGAAGAACCAAGCAACCACATCGGCGAGCCTTCCACCACGGATCCTTTAACCGAAGACCGATGACGCCGACCTGGAAAAGAGCCACTCCTTGAAGAAGACGAGTTGGATCCCAGAGCATTGTTTAAAGAAAAAAGTCGACCTGATCGAGCCGAACCTGGAGAAGACGTGGAGTTGGTCTATATCGATGAACCAGTTTTCCACAAGTCATTGCGCATCGAAAGTCATCTTCAGGAACCACTTCGGTAGGAACTCATTGCATTTCTCAAGCAGAATTCTGATGTTTTTGCCTGGAAGCACGAGGATATGAAGGGCATCGACCCCGGTGTCGCTAGCCACAAACTAAACCTCGATCGAACAGTCCGGCCTGTTGTGCAAAAGAGAAGGAAACTAGGGCCGGATCGTCAGAAGGCATTGGAAGAAGAAGTCAAAAAACTCGTCGACAATAAATTCATCACGGAAGCCAAATATCCGACGTGGGTCTCAAATCCTGTTCTTGTTAAGAAAAGCAACGGGTTGTGGAGATTGTGTATTGATTTTTCCGACCTCAACAAGGCGTGCCCAAAAGACAGTTATCCACTTCCCCATATAGATTATATGGTTGACGCCACGTCGGGACATGAGTTGATGAGTTTTATGGACGCCTACTCCAGTTACAACCAGATTCCTATGGACCCCGAGGACTCTGAACACACTTCATTCTATTCGGCCAGAGGTTTGTATTGTTACACTATGATGCCGTTCGGATTAAAGAACGCCGGAGCCACATATCAACGTCTTGTCAACAAAATGTTCGCAACATTGATCGGACACACTATGGAAGTTTATGTTGATGACACGCTCGTCAAGTCGGTGCACGCCTTTGATCATATAACGCATCTTCGAGACATGTTCGCCATCCTCCGATCTTATTCCATGGTACTGAATCCTAAGAAATTCACTTTTGGAGTTGAATCCGGAAAGTTTCTGGGCTATATGGTTAGCCAGCGCGGGATTGAAGCCAATCCGGCCAAAATAAAGGCCATTCGGGATCTAACTCCCCCAACCTCGGTCAAGGGTGTTCAAGCCCTAACTGGCCGACTTGCTGCACTCAACCGGTTCATCTCCAAGTCTACAGATCGTTGTAAGCCTTTTTTTGAAGCAATCAAGAAAGGGAAACGTTTTGAATGGACCGAAGAATGCCAAAAAGCTCTTGACAGTATCAAGGAGACGCTGATCTCTCCCCCGACTTTGCAAAAGCCGAAACCCGAGGAAATGTTGTTCTTGTACCTCGGAGTTAGCGAATCTGCCATTAGCGCTGTATTGATACGCGAAGAGGGGTTGCTGCAATCACCCATCTATTACGTCAGCAAGGCCTTGCACGATGCCGAAATACGTTATCCTCCGATGGAGAAGTTGGCATTTGCCCTTGTGATTGCAACCCGGAAATTACGACCATACTTCCAAGAGCATTCTATAACTGTTCGCACTTCGTATCCACTTCGGCAGATCTTGCACCGACCTGACACCTCAGGACGCATGGTTAAATGGGCCATTGAGCTCGGACAATTCGATATCCACTACCAACCGAGAACCGCAATCAAGGCTCAAGCCTTATCCGACTTTATCGCCGAGTTTACCCCGGCCATCGCAGTTCATTATAATAATCAACCATGGGTCCTCTATATCGACGGCTCTTCAACAGCCAACCGCGCAGGTGCAGGGATAGTCTTAGCTGATCCAGAGAATCGGTTATTCTGTCATTCAGTGAAATTCCTCTTTCCAGCAACAAACAATGAAGCCGAATACGAAGCGCTACTATCCGGATTGAATTTGGCAGAGTCCATGAACGTGACCCGCCTCAAAGTCTTCTCAGACTCACAGCTCCTTGTTAATCAAGTCAATGGTTCATATGAAGTCAAAGAACCTCGGTTGACACCCTATCTCTCTTTGGCCAAACGGAAATTATCAAAATTCTCCGCCGACCTCGGGCATATCCCCCGAACTCTCAATGTTCAAGCAGACGCTTTATCTCGACTTGCGTCCAGTACCGGGATGGAGAGCACGGAGTACATCCAAATCGGCCAACAAGAACAACCATCAACTGCCCTTTCCGAGGTCACGACCATCAACCCGGCGACTTCACAAAAATCACCAACTTGGATGGATCCCATCATCCACTACCTAGAAACTGGGGCCTTACCTCCGAACCCAAAAGAAGCTCGAGCACTTCGGATTCGAGCAGCTCGGTACACATTAGACAACGGAACCCTGTTCAAAAGGGGATACTCCGTTCCACTCTTGAAATGCGTAAGTGAAACTGATTCACGGTACATTCTTGAAGAAGTCCACGAAGGGATTTGCGGAAGTCACCCCGGTGCACAAGCATTATCTTATAAAATCCTGCGGCAAGGTTACTACTGGCCGACTTTGAAGACCGACGCCGCCACATGGGTGCGCAAATGCCCGAAATGCCAAATGTTTGCCCCGAATATTCATCAATCTCCCGAAGAACTAAAATCAATTTACAGTCCGTGGCCTTTTGCCAAATGGGGGATTGATCTTATTGGTCCTCTACTAACCGGAAAGGGAGGTGTCCGATTTGCTATCGTGGCAGTCGACTATTTCACCAAATGGGTCGAGGCCGAACCGTTAGCCACGATAACCGAACAGAAGGTCGTAGATTTTGTGTGGAAGTCAATTATCTGTCGCTTCGGGGTGCCGAATTCCATCATAACCGACAACGGCAAACAATTTGAAGGCAAACGACTTGAATCCCTGTGTGAAGAATACAACATCAAGCACTTCTTCTCATCGCCTTACCACCCGCAGTCCAACGGTCAAGTTGAAGCTGTAAACAAGCTCATAAAGAATGGTCTCAAAGTCCGACTTGACGCCGCCAAAGGAGCTTGGCCCGAGGAGTTGCCACATGTATTGTGGGCTTACCGAACTACCACCCGGACGTCTACCGGCGAGACCCCATTTTCCCTAGCTTACGGTTCCGAAGCCGTAGTTCCAGTAGAGCTCGGAGAACCGACCTACCGAGTTCAGCATTTCACCGAAGAAGCTAACTCGAAAACATGAAAGCAAATCTGGACCTACTTGAAGAACACCGTACTCGGTCCGAACTCAAGAATGCTGCGTACAAGCAAAGAAATGAAAGATATATCAATTCTAAACTCAAACCCCGTTCGTTCCGAGTTGGAGATTTGGTCCTCAAACGTATAATGGGGCCTGACCCCGGACCACTCAGACCGCGGTGGGAAGGACCCTTTCAAATCATTAAAATCCTACCTCATGGGGCCTACCGAATTGCTTATCCCGATGGAACACCACATCAATATCCTTGGAATGCAGTGTTCTTGAAAAAATTCTATCAATGAAAGATGCGATGTCGAACAATCGAGGTCACCCCGGTGGACGAGGTCACCCTTTTTGGTGTACTGAAAAACCTATCAGTTTATGCTTTTGAAAAGTCGAGCAGCGAACTCGATATCGATGTAAACCTTTTGAAACTCGGTTATATGAATATATCATACCGATGTAAGCATTGCGACACTCGGTCCAGCTGATACCCCATAATATATTCGAATACCATATATTTTCGGATGGGGGTGATGCTCGTCAAGCGTCATTTCAACAAAACGTTATCTGACGGGCCCCGAATATTACCGAATGCACAACATATAAGTCGGTTGGGGCCATTCCATAATCGGACTCTGACGAAGTCCGGTGACTTTCATTTTGTTTCCCGTACAGCCCTAAATATGTCTTGAGTTCTGCGAAGTTATTTGAAAACTCGCATATCGACTCACACTTGTGGCTGAGATTCTTATAAACGATCAAAGTGGAATTCGGAAGTTATTTCTATTTACAAAATCTTACAACTCGGATCACGATTTAATTAATTCTGAGTTGAAGCAGTTCATTTTCTAAAGAAAACCGAATTCAAAACACTTGGTCGAAAAGTTGGTGAAATTTGCACAGCAAACATAAAATCAAAATCAAGCATATGCAGACACTTTATATATAAATATATTCTGAAAAGTTTGGGAAATCCCTTACATATTTCCTACTAAGGGATTAGGTTATCCGATATCCCCGATTACATATCATAAACTTCGAAATATTTCCTACTAAGGATGCCGACATGTCGGCACCCCGATTACATAGCAAATAACCCAAAACAATCAAAACAAAGAAAACCATAAATCAACTTCAGACTTCATCGGTCGGTTTCTCCACATTCTCTCCGGTGCCGCTGCTTTCTCCGACTTCGGTCCCAGAAGATAATCGCTCCAAGACCTGTGATTCCTTCATTTTAGCAACCGCTTAAATAGCCCCATCTGGCACCGGAATGAGATCATAACGAGGGTCGGTCAGCTTCTCAACGTCGTTCCCAGCCGGCGTAACCACTTTCACGATTTCAACATCCTTATCAGCCGACCTCGCCTTCTCTTAAATATAAGCTTTGACTTGGCTCTGAATCTGCTCCGGAGTCATATCATCAAAATGCTGTTCAACCTCTACTTCAGCCAATGTTGAAAGATATACGTCGGCCAGCTTCTTCCTTTTTTCTTTCTCCTCCTCCAAGATCATGTTGACGTAAGCACGTCGGAGGAGAGCAGCTCTATCTTCGGAAAGTGATGGCAGGTCGGGGTTTACCTCCTCTGAACGGCGGAGCATCCATACGCAAAATTCTCGTTCATCTTCATCAGCCGCCACATGCATTCCTTTTATCTCCGAATCAAATCCATACTTCTCCAACTTGTGGAAAAGAAACAAGCGAAGATCATCAATATCGTAGTAGCCGGCGTCGTAGCGTTCAATAATCCACCTCAAGTTCAAACAGGTGTTCATTTCAATCTCGAGGTCAGGACCGCCGGCTTCATCATCTTCACCGACCTCAGCAACTTTCATCTCGGCATCGTCCCCAGACTTCGGTTCAACAACAACCGAATCCTTCCCGGCCTGAAAGCCATTCTCGTACATGAACTCACCGTAAGACGACTTCTCCCTTTCAAGTTTGGCCAACTCGGCCTGATGAGCGTCTCTTTGCCGACCTACCAATTCGCGGGTCTCAGCACATTCTTTACGAGCTGCATCATGATTAGCCTTTTCCTCCAACAAGGCCTTCTCGGTTTCCATCAGTTTGGCCTCAGAAGTTTTGAAGTGCTGCTCCACCACGGCAAGGCGTGCTCTAAGATCGGCCACCTCGGCCTCAGAAATTTTCTTCTCTGCAGACAATGCCGACATCTCGGCCTTTGCCTCCTCCAATTCGGCAACCTTCTCAGAAATCTGGCCCTTCAAATCGGCCTCCATTTTTGTAGCCTCCTCCTTCAATTGGACGATCGCAGCGTCATGCACCGCAATGGTATCCTTTTTTCCTTCCAGCTGCGACGCAACCCGGCGATGATCATCTTCGGCTGCCACCAAACTAACCAAGGCCCTGCCCACGCACGCCTTGGCATAGCTCAGCTTGTCAATACTCGATAAAGAGGAGACCCCCACCTCGGATTTGGGGTCCCAAACCATCAACGGAACCCGGGCGGCGTCTCTCGCATTCTCTGGCATTTCAATTCTTGATGACATATGCGGTGACTTCACGGACAGAAAAGTGGTGAACCAATCCTCCACAACACCCTCCGGCACCTTAACTCTGGCAGCCCGCTCTTCGTCTATAGACAAAAAAGACTTCTCGAACAAAGGAGAATCATCCGTACCTTTCTCAGTCGCCTTACGGCCGGAGTCGTGTTTTTTCTTAGACCTCTTCTCCACTCCGGACGAAACTCCGTCGTCCGCCATCTTCACCAATTTCCTCTTCTTCCTCTTCTCTGGTTGCTCCAACTCAAGCGACTTCGGAGAAGCTGGTGGCACCTCGGTATGAGCAACCTCGGCAGTAATCATTTCGGTCCCTGCTATGATTGGTTCGGGATCCGCTTGGTTAGTCGCTGCAGCCTCCACTACCGTCAACACTTCGGTAGTCGTCACGTCGGGCATAGACTTCGGGCTTTCAGGCATGGCAGCTGAAGTGGCACTCGACCCCACCTCGGTCGACTTCGTCCCAGTGTTCTTTTGACCGGCTGTCTTCTTCACCAACGCACGAACAAGATCCCTCCTCATGGCGTCGTTCAGTCTTAAATCCCGGCTCTTACCAACTTTGGATTGAAGGTCTCTGTTCGGAAATTTACGCCTAAACTCCTTGGCTTCCTTGACAGAGTTGTAACCCAGAAAACCGAGGAGAGGATAATACACTGCATACCGACAAGGGATAAATAAAGTTACAAACAGCTGTTCTACACATACAAAAAATTCGATAACATCTTTACTGGAAAAAATTCTCTTACCGGGGTCAAATTTCGATGTGGTAACACCCAGAGACAAACCGGTTGCTTCGAGTTTTGAGTCTATTACGAGTTTGCGATAATCCCTCTCTGCTTTATCCAAACCGGCCAAGGTTATCAACTTCCCACCGAATTCCGGACTTAACTTCGGTTCTTTTTGCTTCGTCTCTTTTTCTACACAGAGTAAAAGTTCCGACCTGTTAGTGCACAGAACAATACCAAAATCAGAAAAGTATATCCGAATTAAAAATCAAATAAAACAAACTCACTGGCTCCGGAATGGATTAACATGGGAATCGTCATCCCATCGATTCGGCGCTCATGAAAGAAGTCCACCGACTGCCACTCTCCACCGATCCATAACCACTCTTCCTGGAAACCATGGAGACTCTCCGGAATCTCAGTCACTATTTCT